GATTCTACTTTAATTTCCACTCATGAATACAAAATTAATGCAATATTTCTAAAATAATTTGTTTTCTACACCAGAAGAGTACATGAAAAACCTAAAATGCTAGAGTAAATAAGTTATATCCAAATTAAATGAACAGGACTCCGCTGTCACTCTAGAGTACCAAACCAGTAATAACGTCATCGACAACATGCAGGTAAGTTGTGAAGAGAAAGCGTCAAGAGGGCAATGATGGCCCATCAGCACCCATAAGACAGCCACCCCACTGGGCACATGAGTCCTATCCAAGGCAGCACTTTCCAGAAAGGGCAACCAGGCAACTGGAAAGGAAACCATATCTTATCCCCATAATTGTCCTCACTCAGCATGAGGCAGAAAACTGGTTTTTAGTAAAACAAATATGTGAGCCCAACCAACCAGGGCAGAATAAGAACTCCATGTGTCAACATGCAAATACACATGAACACACATGCACATGTGAGCACACACTCAACAATATGGCCAAGCATGCCATGTAAAGTTGAATGTATACTGTGAAGCAATCTGAATTAAGAAACTAGGGTTGTTGCCACCGCCATTTATTTATCTAGTTCATAACTAAGTATAGAACACTACAGTAGTGCGGGAGATGCAAAGAAATCCCTGCCCTTAAGGGGCTTACAATCTTATCAGGAAAATAACAGGCACATAAGAAGTTGGACTTTAGAAAGCATCTGCTAACAAATGCCAGAAGAACTCAGAAGGCAGCACAGTTTACGAAGACAGTGTAGTCCCAAAACCCAGTTCTAGTCCCAACATGGTCAGTTAACTTCTCTGGGTTTGCTACCTCAGCTGCAAAATGAAGTAGTGAGCTTGAGGCTGTCTCCATTTGTTTGCATCATGATTCTGATTAAAAGCTGAGGAAAGTTCTATGGAGTAGGTGGCACCTGAGCTGGACACAGAAGGAAGACAGAAGGCATTTCCAACAAGGACAGGGGGCTGAGGTAGGCGTACACATGGGATTTGGAGGGGAAGACAAGTGTCATAAGGAAGATGGGAGTGAGGTAAAGGGTGGCCATGGTAGCCCTCAGGCACTACTGACACAGAATGAGCTGTATTCCTCACACTTACATCCATCGGTTACAGTACATAATTCCAGAGAAATACCAAAGAATGGCGGCATTTTATCAGACATTTCACTCAATTTCCAGAAACCATGAAATAATTTAACATTATACCTCTATGACATCAATAAACTGTTCCAATTGTTAAAATGTAAGTCAATTCAAAGTTTACATTCTTAGTGAACATAACTAAACCTCTTAAGAGGACATTTGCTATGAATTATATTATCTCAATAATTCCAACATTTGTTTTCTATGTTCCATTTACTGTGGAAATAAAAATGAGTAAGATAAACTTTCTGCCCTGGAAGAGTCCGCATCCTGGTAGGTGAGGCAAACATCACTGCGCCTACCCACAATGTCCTGTGAGGCACATGACCAAGGTATAACCACGCGACTAGAGTCCAGGAGACAGATTCATCCCTTCTGGAGGAGCTTCGCAAAGGCTCAGAGCAGAGAGGTCGATGGCTCAAGGAGAAATGAATCTGGCAAGGAGAAGGTGTTTGTGGGCAGCAGAAGGCACAAGGCTTCCGACAGGGAGCATGATGTGGCCAAGGCCTAGCACAGATACAGTGTGTGGCTGGAGCAGAGTGCACAGGGCAAAGCAAGTGATAAAGCCTGGACTTAGTCCTAGAATAAAGGGGAGACACTGCTTGCTATGCTTTAATCATCTACAGGAAAGTGAGTAGTGAGGCTATGAGCTCTTTTCAGCATATTATACTGTTCAGCCCTAGCTGGTTTGACTCATCAGCCTGCAGGCTGAAGGGTCCTGGGTTTGATTCCAGTCAAGGGCACATGTGAGGGTTGGGGGCTTGATCCCCAGTAGGGGGAGTGCAGGAGGCAGCCGAAAAATGATTTTTCTCCCATCATTGATGTTTCTCTCTCTCTCTCCCTCTCCCTTCCTCTCTGAAATCAATAAAAATATATATTTTAAACAAATTACACTGTTCAGGAAACCCTCTAACCCACATCACCTCTCCTCCTTCCCCCGTTTTTTCCTTTTATGATCTGCAAGTTTTCAAAGCGGAGCTGGAACGTGAAAGGCACAGGGGAGGAGCCAACGAACAGGACTAGTAATGCACACATTCGGCTAACCAAGTTACCACAAAGTAATGGTGATTGTGTTGTACAAGTCTGCAGATGTGGAAAACAACAAAAAAAATTTTAAGGGGTTTTCTAAAGGCACCTAATACACACCAAAATGTTGGGAGAATCTCACTCAATGTGGGGGAAAAATACTTTGAGCCCTGGCTGAAGACTCCATTTTCCGAAACTATTTTTCATTAAATATCAGTGTTACAAACACAATACCATACAATTTCAAAGCCTATCTTCACACAATTAAGATTTGACCAAAATTGCATTGTTTGGCTTAAAAAATAAAAAGATACAATGTGTAATTCCAAGTCTTAGGTTTGCAGCTACTACCAAAATATGTCAATACATGAATAAACTGTCTAGTGAAGAACATGCAGTAAAAGGTAGATGGAAATAAGACATCTCTTTAGGGTAGACTCTAAATTCCAATTTCTCATAATATTATAGAACCAATTCTACAAAAGTAACACCTTCTTGCAATTTCAATTTATATTGAAGAAAATAATTCTGTGCGTTTTATTTAACATTCATTCTTAAATTACAGTTATGCCCAAAACAATCAGCTTCTAATGAAAGAATCCTTAGCAAAACACTCAAAACATGCCTATACATTTAGTCGGATCTTCTACATTTCTAAATAAATTACATGCACGATATACATTAATCAATAAAGAATACCAATATGAGAATTCAGGACATTTATTTTTTTGCATGGAGATTTAACTACTGTACAACACACACAGCACGCACACACACACACACACACACACACACACACACACAACAAACCCATAAAGCAGCGGTGTGTAGTAGGTAGTGAGAGAGACCTAAAAGAAGCATATTTTAAATGCCTGCAAACAGGCCTTTTTTTTTAGGCAACAAAGTATTTATTTTCAGTCCTTGACACCTTCTCACACTTACCTAGCACCACAGATGCAAGGACTTACAGTAAACGTGTACAATCTCATGCTTAAAACCTAAAGCATGCATTGAGTAGAATTTACACATAACGATCTACTCTACTAAGTATGCAATACATACTTCTTCTAACATTTTATACATTAAATTACCCTGCAGCATTTAAAAAATTTTAACATTTATGCAAAACAATTTGTGAAACAAGTTTTCAAGGATCACCTCTAGGCTGTTTACACAGGCATTGGTTTGGTTAAATGGAAAAACGGCAGCAGCCTCAAGGTTCATACTGAATGAAAATGGTAGATGTGCATGTCAGTCCATGTAAAAAATACATATATACACAGATGGCACAAAGATTTTTGCAGTT